CCCACAGCAGATTCAAAAAGAGCAGCTGATGCATCTATTAACTGTTAAAAAAAACGCTGCAGAACCGAGAGGGATACTGTGAGAAAGTTTTGGTTTTTTTTTTTTTACTCTGTATGTTCAGTTTCAGAGGTGAAGACCTGTGAGACGAGGGAAACATTCTCAAATAGCTTTTATCACCGTCCTCAGGCCAAACGCTCTCTGATATGAGAGTGTGTGTGAGCGTAATGTTGCACGGCTGTGTGTGTGAACAAAAGCTTTCAAGCTCGCCGTTTGAAGAAAGAGAAACTGTCAGTTTGACATATCGTACGTATCACACAGCAGTTGAAGATCATCACTTACAAAGAGGAAATCCTGCCGTCAGCTGAGGCTTAAATTGATCAGGAATTAATTTAAATATAACTTTTCAACTAAACAGATTCCAGACAGCACATCAGCTTCACAGTAACAGGAATAATAATAATAATAATAAACATTGGTCACGTCAGCTTCACAGTATCAGGAATAATAATAATAATAAACATTGGTCACTATATTAAAGTGGTTCCTAAACCTCTTCTACAGCGCCCCCTTTTGAGGTTAGTAGGACTATTATCTAGCCCCCCTCCCCTCCCTGTAACTGTAACGACTGTTATTCCTCAAAACAGAAATAAAATAAAAAAGAAATAAAATTACAAATCTGGGAATCTTTAAACATTTAATTTATTTGACCTGCCAGGCCGCCCTTGCAAAGATTTTGTGCCCCCTAAAGGAAAATCTTGCAAAGATTTTGTGCCCCCTAAAGGGGGCCTGCCCCATACTTTGGGACCCAATGTCCTAATTAAATTGTTTTTTTTTTGGTCTTTTTATCAGATGTTAACTTTGAAATCTTACACTGAAGTGGAAATAATAAGTTAATGCACAGGTTCTTAACCTGTTTGTGTGTGTACAATGTGGCCCATTAAATATCAACGCGTAACAAAATCATCCACATTTTTTTGCAGCTCTCTTGGTGGCACTGGGGGCTCAAGGTTGGGCCACGCCCCTATGGTTAAGAATTACTGAGAGTCACAGAACGTGTTATAAAGAGGCAAAAACTTCTTGGACGAGATAAAAAAAAAAAATCGATTTAAGCTAAACAGCAGAGTGATGATAGATGAACTTACCTGCAGCCCCGGTCCGACCGCTGGTGCTGGGCCGTACTGTGCTGTTCTCATACTGCTCCAGCAGAGCGATGATAGATGAACTTACCTGCAGCCCCGGTCCGACCGCTGGTGCTGGGCCGTACTGTGCTGTTCTCATACTGCTCCAGGGGTATCTGGTTCAGGCTGGACTCTGGATCCTCCAGGTAAGCGTTTCCTCCTCCTCCAGCTGCGATCAGCAGAGGAACCATCTCTCCATTCTCCATCTGAACAAGGGGAGAAATGACACGATGATGTTCTGAGCCTCCTCAACTAAAACAGTGGAAGTCACAAGGTTTTTTACAACAAAAAGTTCCAAGTCCCTGAGGAACCTGGGTGTCAAAGTGTCACCTTGAAGATGTATGTTGCTCCTCCTCCTCCACCTCCTCCCCCGGCCCACTCTGCTCCAGCCTCCCCCCTGAGCTCGTCCTCAATCACCGACCACTCTCCGAGGCAGATCTTCTGAGTCTGTGGGTTCCTCTACAAGAAGGTTTTCAGAGGAGGAAAGATGTTCCACCGAATGATTTACTCCTCCATGAAATATATAACACTTTGCCCCAGAGAGGGGTAGCTAGACTTTTTCAAGATGTTTAGATTACACATACACTGCACTGGATTAGAGCAGTTTATCTAGTGAATCTAAAACTTGTATTTTAGGTTGTGTAACAATGACTTTAAAGAATATCTAATGTATAACTCAGAGGGAAAACCTTAATTTTATACAGATTCTGGTTTAGCATTGCTAGTCAAACAAAACAAATTTGATTTCTGAATCTGATCCAGATTAAGTATAGAAAGTTTAAAGGGTTAGTTATAGTAAAGTTACCCAGACTAGCAGTAAGAATTTTCACTAATCTTTCAAAGCTTTTTGTCCCTTTGTAAGAAGAACGCTAAGCTAAGTGTTAGCTAACTAAAAGTCATTGAAAGTCGTTGGAAGCTAGCCAAAGACAGCTAACAATAATTACATTATAAATAGGAGGTTACATTAAAAAAAATTGTAAAAAATTTTCATTTCAAAAAGCCGTGTAAATGAACAGAAATTCCAAGATAACATTTAGGAATCACAGTTGGAAATACTTTTCAACCTGGTAGAAAAATTGTTAAAGTTACTGCAAGTACAACAACAACAAAGAAAATGTATAAAGACAAACCCAAATAGACAGGTTTTTAATGAACTCTTCCATGAATAATCCCCCCCCCCATAGTCCCTAACTTACCCCAGGGCATGCGTCCTCTCCCTGGTGACCCACCAAAATGTAGAGTGTTTCCCCTTTCTCCAGAGGGAATATTGCGGAAATGAAGACTCCGTGGTTGCGTTTGTTGTGATTTTTAGCTCCTTTCCCGCCCGCAGCCCCATAGGCCGAGATCCTGGAGGAGATTATCACAGCGCTGCGTTATGACATGCTGTTAGACAAAGTGTGTTCTGGCCCGGTCTCGGGGGGGGTGATGTCATAATGGATATTGTACAGATTTCCTTTTTGCATTTCTGCAGTCATAATGGATATTATACAGATTTCCTTTTTGCATTTCTGCAGTTTGTTGATCTGAGCAGAGGCAGTAATTATGTACAATTTAGCCTGAGAAATTCAACACCCTGTAAACTGCTCCGGCTCTAACGGTGCCTCATTTTCACTTGTGAGGCCCCGAGTCCCATGACCTGCTGTGCAAACAATCACACACAATCAAACAGCAGTAGTTATTGAACATGACCAGGAGAGCACAGTCCCCGAGCGCTCACACACACAGCACTCAGTTACAAATGAAAACCGAATGAGTTCAACGACGTCTTCACCTGTGATTTGGCAGTGACTCAGCTCTCATTGTATAACTGAAACAACATTGGGTCACACTTCAAATTACAGTCAAATTACTGCTTCCACCAGCCAATATAAAATGACAAACAATCACTGTGGATGTGGGATGTTTGCTTTCGAGTTTCTTAATGATTTTTAAATACGAATAGATTTTACGGTGGTGCATTCTTAGCACCCGGCGCTAACTTGCACTCACTCATTAATTCTAAAAGCCTTACTTATGAAAAACACATTCGTTTTTTCTTGGCCACCTGCTGGCCATTAGTTGATGATCGTGTCTTACAATAAAAACGTCACCGATTAATTTCCATATTCATCTGTTTTTCCACCATAAGAGTCAATTTCCGCAGTTTTATGTTACGTGAAAAACAAATACAGTATTCTTTGCGATTTCCATATTAAAATATATAATTTCACATCTGTTATTTTCACACTGACAGACAGTAGAGGGCACTGTAGGCTTTGCGTACCAGTATCTGCTACTCTTGTGCCACTAAAAATTGACATGTTCATTATTTTTCACATAGACAGCCAGTAGAGGGCACTAGTGCGACTTATACTCAGGATCAACTTATAGTCTGGAAAATAGGTAACTATAAATCCTATTTTTTTTCCTTTTTGTGTCTACCTACAGTCACCACACGTCGACTTACAGATATTTGTTGGTAGCAGGTACTTTCCACATCTGGACTCCTTTCAAATGTCCATCCTTCCCCACAGTGACGCTGACGTTTTTGTTTCTGTAGGTACTGTCACACTGGGCCTGGGTCGGACCATGAGGACCACTGGCACCGCAAGAGTTGAACCACCAGGTCATCAGGGAAACCTCTAGAACAGTAAGGAGAGAGTGGAGAGAATCACTAATACTGTATGTTGGTGATCGGAATATATGATGGTTCGGTATTTGTTCTGAGAACGCCTTGATGTTTGACATGACCCATAAATCTGACCGAGCTATGAGCTAATACCTTATTTAATACTGTTATGTATGTCTGTGTATACTTCAATAAAGTAATATACTGTATTCTCCGGACTATAAGTCCCACTGGAGTATAAGTCGCACCAGTGCCCTCTAGTGGCTGTCAGTTTGAAAATAACAAATATGTGAAATTATATATTTCAATATATAAGTTGCGAACCCAGCCAAAGCATGATTATAAGTGCGACTTAAAATGCGTCAGGAAAATACGTTAATCTGTATAACGCGTTGTAAAAGTATACAATACAGTAATAAATGTATCACATGTTAAATAAATAATTTCAAAAAAATATTGTTTCATAAAACAGAATCCTAGAGGAACGCCATGAAAGTTTAATTTCAGTAAATTTAAATATTTACAACATTTTACATAAAAATCATTTTGATATTTTACTGACTCAAACTAAACTAAAACGAACACAGTTCTACCGACTTAGTTTGGAACAAGTAAAAAGAAAATCATCTGTTACAGCACAGTGAGAACCTTAACCTAGTTAGCATGCATCTCAGCACCTGGTGTGTAAAAATCAGCGTGAAGTCAGGATTAGTAATCACACGATACACCGCGGTTGGAGCAGCACACGCCACGTACCTGACGCTGAAGGTTCTGGAAGAGGACTGAAGATGTCCTCCAGGCCCATTATAGGCAGCAGGGAGTTGATGTCTGAGGAGAGACAGGAGAGCCTTCATGGTTTCTCTGCGTCACTGCTGCGACAGATTTCTCATAGGAGACGTCTAATGTATTCTAATTGAAGGAGTGAAGACTGAGATTGAATCGTGGACGGAGGGCTTTAGAAGCCTTGATTCAAGGATGGGAAGGCTGTGTGAATGACGACAACCTGCCACTGTGTTGATGGTTTGACTAAATGAAGGTTCTATAAAAAAAGATTTCTTTTCGTTTTCACACATTTGTTAGTATCACGATTCTTGGCCTTCATGAAAAATCAGAGTGATGATTGTGACATTTTGATCTAATGATGTATATCTGAGAGTTTTTTTCTGAAGGTCATTTCCTCCAGATGGAGATTAAATAAATGCAGGAACTTTTGTGTCACTTTAATAATATTAATATTAATAATAAATCTGAACTATATTGATCCCATATTTGGGTAATTCTTGTGTTAGATATGCTGTTAATAGTCTGCCCCCAGCAGGTGCCAAGCAAGTGGTTCCTGTGGGAATCGGACTCTCTGCTTCTGAGACAGGAGTGATGAGTCAAAAAGCAGAGATCAAACTCCATTATTCTGCACCAACTAAAAGTAATTCTCTTTTCATTTATTTTTAAACAGCAACTCAGCTCTTCAATGTAGAGAGCTATTTTATACTGTATATATTATAAGTAATGCATGTATTACAACAGGCATAGCCAACCTGCGGCTCTTTGCCTTAGCCTCTTGACTGGTTGGTCAGCCCTGGTATACAAGACTTTTTAACATTGACCTATCGAAGGGAAAAGTCTGTCTCCTCTATTCTACTCCATGTCCAAGCTCCTGTAAACAAACGGCCAAACTGAGACATGACGTCATATTCTGTCTGTGTCCATGTGTCTGTTTTAGAGAAAAACCTAAAATGGAGTCATCGGTTCAACTCACACAGCTCTGTCCAAGGACGCAGAGCCAACGTTGTGTTTTTAATGACTGTTTTAATCAATAACAACAACAGAGAAAATGTTGGCTTCGGCCACAGCTAACACTGCTAACGCTAGGACACATTAGCACAGCATCAGGTCAAGATTGTGTTGTTGTGTTGTCATTAACCGCTCACCTTTGCTGAAGCAGGAGGCTCCAATTGCAATGTCATCAAGAGCAACATCAGCATTGGAACCTTGACTCCACACAGCTGTCACCTTCATGTGAAACCTGGTACAAAGGGAGGAAACAGGGAGCTTTATTTGGTGCTTTTTAACTGACAGGAGACTGAGCTAAACTACAAATGGCAGAAAACGAAGACGCTAAGATTTAGCTCGTCTAGAAATGACCGAATCAGAGGCACAGATATCAGTGCAGAGGGTGATGGAAGATCTAGATTTGGAAGGAGACTTCTGGAAATATTTACTTCTTAGTTTGCAATCTGTAAGACAAAAGGGACTGTGTTCATATCTAGGTGTTATGACCCCATTTGTAACCCCCCTCAGTGCCCATGTTGTTGTTTAAGGGTGTGGGGGGCTGCAGCTGCCACCTCTGTTACACTGGAGGGCCACAAAAACATAAACGTTCATTGTTCTCAAAAACAACACAAAATGTCATAAATTTACTCTGATATAGTTCAATATACAGTGACAAAAAATGTTTTTATTCTTAAATGACCAAAATTAAAGCATTTTAATGAATGAACCAATTAAAAAGTTACAAATATATATATTTAAAGTCTTAAGGGCATGAATTACTTTTTAAAACTCTTGGGCTGTATGTTGGGGGTTGCGGGCCTGAAGTGAACCCGGGGTCTGGAGTTTCAGACCCATGCTTAAGAAGAGAGTCCTATGTTGGGGTGGAGGGATTTGCTGTGTATTTTGGAACGCTGACTTCTCTTTACAATAGATTTATATTTGCTTGATTTCTTAACAATCTAAAAGACCGCAGGTCTGTGTAGGTCCTCCGTCGTCCAGATCATCTAATCCAAAAGTAGTTACATCCAGGGTAGCTGGACAGAGTAGGGTTCTTGAAGACGTTTCACCTCGCATCCAAGAGGAAACGTCTTCAAGAAACCTACTCTGTCCAGTTGCACTCAATGTAACTATTTATTACTATTCAAAGGAATAAGAAGATGGAGCGGCCAGGTCAGTCAGACACGCTGTTATTCACAAAAGACTGAAACAGTGTGAATGAGTGAGTGGTTTAGTTCTTACTCATGGAGGAGGCCATCCAACTGCAGGACAACGCCGTCCCAGTTGTCGCCCTGCTGACCTTTTCTCTCCCAGACCAGCGGTGCGCTGCTGGTCCCGTTCTCCTCTATGCTCAGCAACACTGAGCCGTTAAAGTCTCCGTGCACATACAGGGAGAAGTGTAACTGTGAAAACAGACAAACGATCGACGCAGGATCAGATAAATGTCTACATCGAGTGAAAAACTCTGAAGGAAACAATGGTGGAGCCACAGTTTGAGGCTCAGACCTGGCAGGGGGCAAGAGACACCGGAGGAGGGAAAGTCTGGCTCTGAATGGTTGCCCCCCGGACAGGGTTGCTCTCTCGTATCCCGAGAAATAAGAAGTATCCTGGGGAGAGGGAGAAGAAGAGTTCAGAACGGAACACTGCGACCACTGTGATGGATGGAGTCAGTGGTGATAAAATGTGGATAAGGGAGGAACACACACACACGCACGTGCGCAGCATATCACACTGATATAATACATTCCATATCCTATTATCATAACCCAGGGGTCTGTAATCATTTCTATTCACTCCCTGTACTTCATTTTTTATGTTTGAATGGAATAAATTAACCTGACTGTCTGCGTCATACAGAAAAAAGACACTGATGACTCATGACTCAAAACTCATGACTCAAAACTCCTGCATCAAAACAGCACAAAGCACACAGGAAATGGCTGTAAAAAAAAGAGACTTTAGACTTTAAACCAACTTTACACATCACCTAAAGTTTTCAGCTTGCTTGCTAACAGCAAACTGCATGAAATTTGCGATTTTTTTTTCTGAGATAAAACAGTTTTAACAACAACAAATGAACAACGATGCATGGCTGCCATCACTATGATGCCCCCCCCCCCCCCCCCCCCGCATCGATGGTAGTGACAACTCCTTGTATGGTGGGAAACTATTTCTTCATCCTATGACAGCGTGACCCACCTGGTGTGCTCTGCAGGGCAGCTCCCTGCATGTCCTTTCTCTCCAGAAGCTCATCTCCGGCCACTCTCCTCCAGCCTGACTGCTGGTTAGAAACCGACCAACCGCACGCGTCTCGTTCAAACGAACAGTGTGACCCTGATGGAAGAGCACCTGGAGGAGAAACAAAAACACATTTATTAGATGTTGTAATGTGATTGAAGTGATTAAAGAATAGGCAAAAAAGGTAAAAATGTTAGACTCAAGAAAATGAGAACAAACTGTAGAAATACAAAAAATATGAATGTATATGTATGTTTATATCTGAATATATGTATAGCCAGTATATATGTATATAAACGTACATACAGTATGTACATATATACATACATACGTACATATACACATATAAATATGTATGTGTATATGTATTTTCTAAATATACATATATTCGTAGATATTCATACATAAACATACATATACTGTACATATAGAATTTTTTTTATATTTTTACAGTTTGTTCTAATTTTCAGATTCATTCACATTAACATTATTATCTTTAATCAAATTAAAGAAAATTACCCTCAGGTTTATCAGTGATTAAGATAGTGTAATTTAATTTAATTTTAATATTGTAATTGATATTCTAATAGCTGTGATACAGTGGAAACTTCTGGTTTCAGAAATGTAGTCACACACCAAACCACTAACAGAGACCTGAAAATATAGTTCCTTCCAAGAACGTGTTCTCAGCACTGATCTTTTATATTCCTTTGAGTTGACACCAGACCTTGACAGGAAATGCAACAGACAGGATATGATAATCTGTGAAGAGACATGCTGGACTCGAACCTTTGGCACAGCTCTAAACATACAGTACGGTTATTACTCTGGTTCCTAAGAATGTACCGAAACAAATGTCGGAAAATCCACCTTTTCCTACGGCTCCACGACTCAGAAACACAAACGAAATGTTTCTGCTCACAGCGTGTGGTTGTGTTTTCTTTGAGCTCAGTTAGACTTTCAGAGAAGAAACGTGAGAAATGTCCAACTTTGGACATTGATAAATGTTAAGATATCAACTGAAGAATCCACATTTTGTTCTCACAGTTTTTAAGAGAAGGTACTTTAACACAAGTTCACACGTTCACATTCTAGTACATTTAAACTAAGTACTCTGTGTAGAAAGACAATTAGTAACCAAATTAGCTACAAGTTGGACAAAACACACAAAGCAAACACAATCATCATAAAATGTCAAAGAATAAAAATAGGTGAAAAGCAACCAAGGATAAAATTAGCCAAACGTTAGCAGTTAGCCACAACCTAGCAGGGTAAAACAAAAAGCCGTGAAAAAGCCCTTAAAAACATATTCGTGACCAGAAACGACTATATTTATTGTAATGCGGGGAAGTTAATTAAATGCTGAGGTCAAATTATAATTACAATAAGATGATTTTGAGTAGATTTTAATCATTACAGCTGCCCTACCTCTGTCACGTAGACCATTGTTTCCCAAAGAGTGGTTCATGACCCTCAGGTGGGTCGCAAGAGATTTTTTTTTGGGTCGTCTGTGTTTGTTTCCCTGGAATTTACGAATAATGTCTATTGACTTGGGTCACAAAGGTTTGTGACTTTTAAAATATGGGTCCCCAGAAAAAAACGTTTGGGCCGTAGACTGTAGCAGCTTAGACTGTAGCAGCCTTTCCCACATTTCGCCAGAAAAACAAACTTTTCAACAACTTTTTAAAACTGTCATTTTCTTTAGAACAAAATTAACGATCTAACTTTTTAAAACTGTAATTTTCTTTAGAACAAAATTAACGATCTGTAATTTGACAACACAAAAAAAAGTACACGTCCTCTTAACTCCTACCACAGAGGAAGCCTTCGTCCTCTCCGTAGGGACAGTCAGTGTGGAAGTTGCAGACGTCGCTGGGGTCGATACAGACATCGGCGTGGACGCAGTGGAAATATTCTCCACAGACTCCATCCTGGTGGTCTGGACCTCGGAAAATACACAACAGTCTGTGATCACTTAGTGTCTTTCCAGGAACACTTGGGGCCAATGAATAAAAAAATAACAAATGGTCTAATATTGGTTCCACAGGAAACACCAGAAACTTGGGACACTTCAGAATGGTTGTCATGACAACGGGGTCAGTTAACATAGTTATACAGAGAAAGGAGAAATGAGGGAAATAAACTTGGCCTCTTATCATGGACAAACAGGAACTTGTCTCTGCTGCGTTAATGCTACACTAATGCTAACGCTACATTAATGCTAATGCTACACTAATGCAAGTAAAACACAGGTTGATACATGTGCAAGGACAGAAGTCATTCAATAACGGAAGTCAACAATGTTTGGGCTCGAAAGTAAAAATTTGTGAAATTGTGGCAGTTATGGCAATAACAAAAATTTGATTCTTTAAATAATAAAAAAATCATAGTCTAAAAGAGGACTGGGTTTTTTTTATCTGGAGCTGCAGTTGAAGAACACCACTGTGATTTAACTGCCATTACAGGACATGGTGATTCACCTGATTCACAGTCGACGAACTCCAGTGAGTCCAGAGCCACAGTCAGTCCCTTTTTCCACAAACAGGAAGTGTAAACGAGGGTCACCTGAAACGGCTCGTCCACCTCACCAATGGAAATCTCCAGAACCTCCCACTCTGCCCTGCAACAAGAAGGGAGTATTTCTACCAGAGTAGTACCACGTTCTGAACCACAGCACAGCTCCTGGTACTTGTTGTTGATGTAACTTAGCATTCAGACGTACAGGCAGCTCCTCTCTCCTCTGTCTTTACTCAACAGTCACCTGCTGTCAATAACTGAGCTAACGAGGTTACTGACTTTGGCAAATTGCATTAGCAAATTGAATCTTAAAAGAGGTCAGGATACATGTTGTTGATCACGACGACCGTGTTTTGCATATGTTTTTGATAAGACAAAGAGCAAACATTACGTTTGCTGCGTTTTCAGTGCATTTTTCATGTCCTGCCACTGTCCGTGTTTTTTAACAAACTCTGAAATCTCTCCACAGCACAGCCACCTGTTGTTCTATTCATCGTCAGACCAAATTCACAAAACACATTTGTCTCAATGGGCTTATAGTTTGAAATAAGAATTGAAATTAAACTTAAAATATACTAAAAATGTTTATAAAACAGGTTAAATGGGCAGATATGTTTGCTGCAGAAAAAAACAACAACTCCCTTTTCACAGGAAGAAATTTCCATCAGATTCAGACTCTGTTTCCGTCTGTGTCGGAAAAAAGGGGGGGGGGGTACGGGGATGAAATGACACTGTTATATTTGTCAAGCTTCAACTCAATTAATTAAAAATATTTTGTGTGTGGACTATGTTTAGCTTTACATACTTGTGGGGACATTTTTTTGGTGCTTTGTGTTGAGGACCCTCTGTCTTTGTGAGGACAGCCTTCAAGTCCATACAGTAAAGAGGGTCATTTTGAGGTTGAATATTAAGTTTGGAGTTAGAATAAGAATTAGCGCCGCTGTAGAGTTAGGGTTTTATGTATATTAGTACTTCAAAGCAGAGGCTGTGCCTCAGTTTCACAGCTTCCACTAAAATACATCTCCTGTAAGAACATTTCTGTGGAAAATAACTGTCCATCTTACAGAGGAAGATACAGCTTCCACTAAAATACATCTCATATAAGAACATTCCTGTAAATAACTGTCCATCTTACAGAGGAAGATGATTCATTCCATCCACAGGAGGACTGGTGATATTGTATCAGCTGTGAGCACTTTTTCACCATTAAACCTCTTTACCTCCCTACATGACGTAAAGATCTCATAAACATCTTAAAGAGCTCCACATGACACCTGAAACACCTTTTAATCCTTTTTTTCTGCCCATCATGTGTTTTTCAGCACCTCCCACCTTACATGTTTCTGACCAAACATAGATTATTTCATAAACTACTATGATTAATTTAGTTCATCACTTATCTTTCCCGCAGAAATCCATCTTCCTCCCTCCACATTTTTAACCTGTTTCTCCATAGAGTCCCTGCCGTCTCCGTAGTCTCCACTGAAATGACTAGACTAGATCTTTTTTTAAAACTAAAGACTTCAACATTTTCTTGAATTGAACACAGACCCACGTGCACATTATCAGAGAAAAATACTATATATTAAAAATGATCTCGCTTTTGAAAAATAATTTTAAAGGTCACGAATTCTATCAAAATGATCTGATCTCGCTTTTGAAAAATTATTTTAAAGGTCACGAATTCTATCAAAATACATTGTTATATAAGCATCTTAACTTTTTATAGGACCCTAATGCTATTTAAAAGAAATACAAAGAAAACTAAAAAAAAAAATCTGATCAAAATTCATCAGATGTTCCATGAAAGGTTAAGAGATAGATTCAATTGGTAACATATAATCAGCTTTATAAACTGAACATAAAGGGTCCCGACACTGGACCTTGAGGAACACCATATTTTTAATGCACCGTTTCAGTTCACGTCTTCTTAGCTACATAAGCTGACTGTAAAGGGTCCTAAAACTGCACCTTGTGGGACGCCATATTTCTAATGGTTTTGATTTACATTGATTCAAAACTTCCTCTGATCAAATCCATCCAAATTGAACTCAGTTTATGTAAACAGCAGCTACAACAGCTTTGACCCCTAACACTAGGAGGCAAATGAGGAAATATAATCATTTTAATGCACACAATTCACAGGGCACTCTCACTACTGCCTTTGATTGCAGTACTTTTGATTTCAGAGAACAATAAATGCGGCACGTGAATTGTGGCCACACACACACTCACACACACACACAGACAAAGTACACATTGTGCTCTTACATAAAGGTTTTCTGCGCTATAAATAACAAGAGCATCCAGAAGTTAATGAAACTTCCAGGCCGGTGGACGGGGTTGAATACCTGACAGTCTCATAATGGAATTGCTCAGTCCATTACTACACAGACACAAACAGAGGCTGCATGCACACCTAATGCATACAACCCTGTGTCCGTCTTCTGTCAAAACCAATTATTTATAAATTCATTTCCACGGTTCACATCTGCTGGCACACCAGGCTTTTAGCTACATTAGAGATGGCCTCCATCCCTTTTTAGACAATTCCCTGGGGAACAGAACACCATTCTTCAGTTTATTCCACATGTTAATGTATAAAAAAAAATTCTCAACTTAACTTAAATGCTCTGTGAGTAAAATATACTTGGTGCCCAGCTTTTAACATGAAGCTCTTCCACAAATCAGCAGGCTCTTCAATCCAAAAAAGACGTACGACTTTACTGATACTTGTTTGTGTGTTATCTGACCTGTGGGCTTCTGGGCTCCTGTGGCTCCTGAGGGCCACAGGTTGGACATCAGAATATGTGAGGATGGGTTTGATCAGGAGCGTCAGGTTTCCCAACGCCGGCTGAGACTCAAACAGAGCCACGTGAAGGCTGCAGTGCTTGTTGCTTCCTGGTAAAACTGGGCTGGTGATGTGGTACTGACAGCTCCCAGAAACCTCAGCGGCGGAGGATGGGGTTAAGAGCAGGAAGTGCCCTGTGGTAATAAAGCAAAGGGAGAAAGTTCAAGTTAGACACTTTTATGGCAGCCAAACCCGAACGCTCCATCAGCGTTGCATCAGAGAGCTTTTATTTTGGAGATCAAATGGACCACTGAATGGTAGAACTAGGAAGAAAGAAAAGCTGAAGCTGACATGTTGATTAAGAAGCTTTAAAGTGGTGATAAAATAATGCTGAAATCCAACATCAGGACTTGATGAAATATATCTTTATATATATTTATTTATTTTAACTTCATATCATTTCACTTTTTTTTCAATATTCTTTCATTCAAATATAGTGGCTGCCGCACGTCGAGTAGAGAGCTTAACGTTGAAAGCCCCTTAAATATCTACGTAGAGAAATCTCACACACACTCAGACACAGTTTTCATGAGTTGTAAAATGCATTCCCTAAAAACCACTACAAATGTACGTCTAATCTTAATCCTGACCTTAACATGTCCCCTATTCTAATCCTAACTCCAAATATAATCTTTAATCTCAAAATAGCCTGAAAAATGTCCCCACAATACAGCCTTTCAACTGAATAAAAAAATGTTCCCTCAAGGATAGAATTCATATACATATAACACACACACTGCGGAATACAGTTAGATCCTATCATTACAGAAGAACGAGGAGACTGCGAAGTACTGTACTGTACTTCAAAGAAACCTGTAGCTGAAGTATCTGTGAGATTGTACTTTAAAAAAAAAAAACAGGTCAAAATACTGTATATTCTGTATGTTTGAAAAGAGTTTGGAAAGAAAAACAACGTTGATGTCCTGAAACTGCGAGGTGAGTGGAGTCTCACCCCCGGTGTCTCCCTCTGAGTGGTCAGTCACTGGCATTTCCCCGGCCCGTGCCCTTTGCGGTTGCCGTGGCGACACCAGCAACCAGTCACTTTGGTCGCTGTGATTCGATAAAGTCCAGAGGCACTGTGATTCAAAATCACATGACGTGACTGCAGGACAGAGAGAGAGGTTAGACCTTAACTCAGTCTGAAGGTTACAGTAGATTTACAGACACGTGGGTCTGTGGAAAACTCCGGACTCAAAGTACGTGTTACTTCAAACAGTTCACTACTCTGAACAGACAGGGAATTATAACCTTAAATTCTAGAGGAAAAAAACACCTTTTAAAAATAAAAAATATAGACATTTAACTCACATATAAAACTGCCTTTTACGGTTAACATACAATGGTTGTAAACAATGAGGAAAGAGCAGTGAGGAGGTTTTAGCTTCTCTATGCTAAAGACTTAGCTCTCTGCTCATCTCCAGCATTTCCTTATGAATTTATATTTAGGACACTCAGGAAATTAACAGTTATTGTGTGTCTCTGTTCAGGGAAGATACGCGGGATCAGAAAAAGAAGTCATGTGACAGTGAGTGAAAGCTTTCACGGTAGATTACACGTTAAACAGCCATGACAATCCCTGAGGGGATTTACATACATAAATCAAAAATGTAAAAGTGATTTTATTTGGCTGGTTTCTATTGTCTGTTTGTAACTTTTACTAAAAATACTAATGTGAGCCTTCCGTTCTCTCTGGGGGGTTTAATGAGAAATAAGTTGTGGTGTAGTGTCGCGGTTAGAATGCCTGCCTTACACATCTGCCTTAGATGCTGGGTTTGAGCCCCAGAGGAACCACATACTTAACACATACTTGGCCTCTCCTGTGTGGGTTGCAAAGACTCACACTATAAATTTCCCGATTGTTGGGCCAAAAAGCGACTCTACTGCTTACTGTACTTTCCAGACTATTGAGCGCAAGTTTAAAAAGAAGGGGACAAAAGCATATGTATAAACCGCAGGTGTCCATGTTGTAACATTTTCACTTTTAATTAAATAAATACTTCCCCCCCCCGAACAGTTCCTGTAACACGGCTGGTTACACGTTAGCTCTTTCCTACTTCGCAGCCCTGACCATAGTTGAAATGCACAGGGGAGACTAAGTGATCTGCTCCAGCGCCAAAGCTTACGTTAGCTCCGGGGCTAACTGCCTTCACTTTGTGCTCGTCCGCAGCAGAGGTCAACAGAAACAGGGACGTTTCTGGAATTTGTTTTTATTATCAGCCACACCGAGCACAACAGAACATAAACATTGTTTTAACAGCTCCTGTATAACGAACTCACGCTTTAACATGACAGGACGACAACTGCTCTCAACTTTCGCTACCGTTCTCTTTCTCGCGCGCCCCACGCACATATACGCACACAGCCATTCACAGACAGACATACGCTACTAGTATAACACAGTAGCCTAACAGAAAAGCTATTGATCGCTAGCGGTAACAACTTCGTTTTCCGTAAAAATTAATAATTGTTTAAGCCGCTGGGCTATTAAACTCTTTTTAATGGAATACATGCAACACAGCTTAATAATAATTATATTTATTATTAATATTATTTTTGTTGTTATTATCGTTCTACAGTTCGTGTGTATCCTTAGGAAATGCACGGCTCTTACGTTGGTTGTCGTCCTCAGAATCCAGGTGAGAAGGACTCTCCTTGTCTGAGATTTCCTCCTGAAATCTGTCCAGAAGAGTATGACAAGTGGCGCTGGCTAGCAGTGAGAAACAGACAGAGAAAGTGACGGTGGTTTAAAAGCCAGCAATAAATGTTGTGTGTGATTGTTATCCAAGGAGTGAGGCACAGAATCAACAATCATGATTTACATTTTGTTAAAAGAATGTACTGGTTCTTCTAAAGGGTTAAACATTCATCAAAATGTCAGCCATCAGCAGCAGCATCAGTGATCCTGTGGCCCGCAGATTAATCCGTCTTCATCACCGCAACATACAGTATATTCACCATCAGAGAGTGTGTGCCGCAGGACACCTCACACAGATTACACACGTCTCTATATTATTGGCCCATATTAGCATAATTATATCATATCTGTAAGCATTGTTACAGTTTTTTTCTCCGATAATGAAACCCCGATAAAGCAATGCCTGAGTTTCGTCAAATGACCCTAAAAATAGTTTTTTCGTGATAAACGACTGTATGTGACCGTGAAAGTCACTAGATGTCAGCATTGCAGCTCATTTTATTCATCTATTTTAATAATCAGTGGATTGTACGCAGAATGCTGGTGCCAGCAACGTGTGCAGTTGTTTGTACAGATAAATAACTAAATATAAAATATTATTAAATATTACCAGGACTTTATCAGTATTGGTTGATATCTGAATCGGAAATTAGGAGTTTGGACAATATCAGCATATCGGCTAAAAGTTGATATCCGACATCCCTAGTTAATTTTAGTCTTGTTTTTATCGCCCTTTACATTTGAGTAGCTATAGAGATATAGTGGTGACATAATCACTTACCATTCTGCCGTAGATGACACTTCATTGCTTATAAATTGGAATTTTGCACTGATTTTTAAATCGTTCATTATTTCATGAAACGTAACAAAGCTGGTCAAAGTTGATTGCGATCCCTGAGGGTTCTAACTTAACGTGTTTTCAGAACGCCAACACTGGTTTTCTCCACCACCACCATGACGTCTCTGAGTTGTGTCTCTGAGTTGTGAAGTTTTCAAACTCTCTCAGGTTTAAGTAGGTTAACAAGGCCTGGCTGCTGTGAGACGCAGACGCAGCTCGCTTTTCGAGAACAGGCTGACCCAACTCTGAAGTAGGTTAGGGTTTTTCAGAGCCTGAATAAAAATATTTGGGATTTTACTGTCTGCGCTGCTGGAAGAGAAGAAAATATGTAAGGGACAAAAAGGGTTTTATAAGAAAAAAACTACTTGAGGAACAGAAAGAATGACTGAGGTTCAAAAACTGAAAAAACACGCAAAAAAAAAATCTTTTCAGGTTTACAGATGAAGTTTTAGGGAGAGAATCAGACATGTTTCATTACATATTATTTTAAAATGGAGTAGGTCATTAATAAACGCTAACAGCAGGAGGAGGATTTCTGTTTCCTGCCGTCAGCTCATCTGCACTGTATCTGATGTGTATAACCCTGGCTCAGTCACTGATAATAGATGCAGATAAAACAGAAAACTACACACATGGCCTCACATTGGCTGTCAACATATTTTTCAGTTGTGGTAATTAATGGTTCCAGCTGGAGCTGCAAACCATGTGAAGTACAACAGAAAAACAAAAAGAATGTGTCTACTGTAAGTTCACAGTTGTTCGTTATCATGTGTCCTGGAAACTGTTAAGAGTCATAATAAATATTACCAGGACTTTATCGGTATTGGTTGATATCTGGGACAGAACAAAAGCAGAAATTTCAAAGCGTATAACACGCCACCTCCGCCCCAGGTCACCGTACAGTACAGTACAGTATAAGAAAGCAACTATTGACCTTAAATTCTGACCGAGTTCGCTGGTAAATGGTACTTATTAGAAGGAGTAATCCATCAATCACACTGTCCTTCTAAGTCATCAGAGCAGGACACCAGTCTGATCTTGACTGTATATATCACCGTACTGTGTTAACCACACATCATTCATTCATGTTTTAGAGCATTTGCCATGATATTTTGAGCAAAATAAAAAGAGGGAAAAAAACCAAAATATTTTTGTCTTAATAATAGTATACAGTAACCTGAAGCAACATTTTGACAAAAAACTTGGTCAAAGTTTCTTGTCAACTTAAATAAATTTGGTTTCAATAAGAAGATGAAAAATAATTTTATAACATTGCCAGAACAAAAATGTTAAGACCTTAAGACCTGCAGTACTTAAGCGAATGCTCTTAGGATCACAGCCCGGCCTGTGTTTTTTGGAGCAGGGTCTGTACACAGAGCCAAGTAAACTAAAGAGGAGGGGGCTTGACATGTGACCTGACATTCAACACGCCAACTGGTGTGACCGCCGGACAATGAGAGAGTTGATAATATCTCAGCGGGGTCATCGTAACTTAACCTTTCCTAATGTCCGCTGAAAAGACAAACCTCTGTTCTCAGCTGTCTGCGGGCGAGGTCACAAAGGTCAAGCAGGAAAAATGGAATAACTAAAACGAGTGTTCAGTAAAAGCAGCGAGTGATTATGACAAGAAGACACTGAGAGAGAAGGGTTTCTGAATGGCAGCATCAGTGTTTATGGAATAAAAGCTGCTATGGATAGATTCATGTGGAGGGGGCATGGGGGGGTTCCCCACATTAAACATTAACAGACCAAAATTAAATTCAAATATTTAATTATTTTAGGGGATTTCCCCTCTCTGTATTTAGAATATATATTTTTAATCTGTTTCTTCTTCTTTTCTTTTTGTTTAAAAAAATGGTTACATTGATAACAGTCCAGGCTGTTGTTGGTCCAACACAGTGTGAACTGAGAGAGAAACTTTTGAAAGCTAACATTTCTGAACAAAGACATCAATGACGGCCTCCTTCATCTCCTCATCCCCACAGCCCATGCCTCCTTCCACTGCTCCTCATTTCAACGTTCTGCTTCTCCACGTGATGAAGCTCAGATCGACTCGTCCATACAGGACTGCTGCACTTCCTCTTTGATGTTTGGATGTGCAAATATGACATTAAAACTCTTTCACTTGTCTGTATCAGTGAATAAAAGCTCTTGATGACAGAGGTTGGACCTCCTCTCCTCCTCTCCTCTCCTCCTCTCCTCTCCTCTCCTCTCCTCGCCTCCTCTCTCCTCCTCTCCTCTCCTCCCCTCCCCTCCCCTCCCCTCCCCTCTCCTCTCCTCTCCTCCCCTCCCCTCCCCTCCCCTCTCCTCTCCTCCCCTCCCCTCTCCTCCCCTCCCCTCCCCTTCCCTCTCCTCTCCTCTCCTCCCCTTCCCTCTCCTCTCCTCTCCTCCCCTTCCCTCTCCTCTCCTCCCCTCTCCTCTCCTCACCTCCTCACCTCCAGGCTGACTCTACTATTCTTCTCTCGTTCACAGCTCAGTGACATGTAATCTGAGCGTGTTGACAAAGCTGCCCGCTCAGTCAGCTCCAATGAGCCTAATGCACAACATTTGCGAAATGTCAAGACCACGGCTGTGTCCAAAATCACTCACCCGTTCCGTTCTCCTTGTATGAAGAATTCTATAGAGTGGACTCGCTGGTTAAATGAAGGACGACTTCAGACAAGACTTAATTAGGTCATTACTGTCGCACAATTAAAACAGACAGATGGACGCTGCTTCCCTCACTTCCATGTCATCAGGACTGCAAGGCATGATGGGATACATTGCTTAGGTAGTGACCATTGGATGTTCCCTAGATTCCTCTGTGTAGTGCACGATGTAAAGGTAGGGGGCAGTCTCGGACACAGCCCATGTTATTTAAAACTGTATAGGCTAATCTCAGACTTATCTTAAAATTAGCAACATTGACAAGTACTGTTTTCTGGATTAGTTCTCTGGTCTCGAACAGTGAACTCAGATCCTGTAAGCATGTGGTCCAGTGGTAAAAGGATCAGACTTGTTATCAGAGGACCAAGGTTCAAATCCCACCTTTGCCAGCTGTGATATGTAAATGATGTCTATTTCCCCTGGGGCAATCAGGGGTTGCTGATTGGGCAATCACTTACACACAGTGGTGGCTTAGTGGTTAAGGAAATGGACTTGGGTCCAGAAGGCTTCGCGGGCTTTACGTGCCCCCTGCTCACTTTGGTGATGGGTAAAATGCAGCGTTCACGTTCTGTGTGTCACAATGACAAGCAAGTCTCTTTCACTTTCAATGGGTTAAAATATATGCAATTCTTCTTGCTCTGGAAGAAAAAAAAAAGCAGCTGTGACATATGAGTTATTACTGCCACAGATGTATGTGACCACTTTATTACAGTCAAACAACAGCCCTGCGTTAACCACACATTAAAGTCAAACACAACTATTGACAACGTGAACAAACATGTCGAGTGTGTGTGTTTAACACAAACATGGCCTTGAGCCACAAACACACTCGTCACGGCTTTACTTAAACAAGAGTTACATCCCAGATCAGAGGAACCAGCAGATGGAACTGTCGTTCTGTTTTCACTGGGGAGTCATCGTTGATGAGACTCGAAGTCTTTGTGGTCATTTCAAACATATAAGATGTTGAAAAAGGTCAGGTTTATGTATCATTCTAACTTCTCTGAGATTGATCTGCACCCATTTAAAATGTCTGTTTTAATGGCTATCAAGGGCTGTGTCCGATAGTGCCCCCTACAGCCTACAAAATGCACTTACATATGGAGCATGCCATTTTGTAGTGGTGTTCGAATGTCCGACACTTCACCACGGAATTTAGTGTACAACCGATTGCCACTACAAAAGCTATATATATCCCATCATGCATTGCGGTTGCGACTGATAAATGATGCGTAGAGAAAGGGAGCAGCGTCCGTCCATCTATTTCAACTGTACAATGACGTAACTAACGTCACGTTGATGTAGTGTCCGAAACCGTTCTTCATTCCACTATAGTGCGCTATATAATAATTCCCTATATGTATATATAGATCTAACCTAAATTGAATCATAATAATCCTGTAGAATCTTTCTTTTTCCTGTTAAGGTTAAAATAAGACGAGTTAACTGAAGCTTCATTTAATGAGTGAACTACAGTTCTGGTGAAGCTGAGTTGAACACTGCGTCTAATCACTGCATCAGAAATGAT